GATCGGTGTAGCACATGGATCACTCACTTGGCCTCTTGCGTGGAAACGCTTGCTGATGCAGCCGCCACATGACATGTCGTGGTTCGTCATGTTGCTAACATGGTCGTCCTACGTGACCCTTTTTTTTAATTTTTGAATTGATCCCGAGTTTCCCAGTTTTCTTTCAAGAATACCTTTTGTATTCACAATTTGGCACTGATTTCTGAAAATTATTTCAAAAATATCTAAAATACATATATTTTCAAAAATAATTAAAAATTAAACCCTACGCTTTTTATTATTAAATAAAATAAATAATAAATAAATAAATTTCATCATCCCAAACCAAGTTTTCAGGTTTGGGATGTTACAATACAAGTAAATGAGATAAGAAGAATGAGAATTTTAAAGTAAGAAGAAATAAGAAAGAAAGAAATTTAAGTAAAATGCTAATAAAATGCAAGCCCAAATAATAGAGTTGAGGAAGAAAGAAGGAAAGAGTAACATAAGATTTTAATACTTAGTTCATCATTTTTTCTATATAAAATAAAATTTTACATTTTTGAATGAGTGTAAGATTTGTGTGTTCTCATGTTTAGGGCGTAGATTACCTCTTATACTTACTAAGTATGTGAAAAATTTACCCAATTATATTATAATATTTTTCAAATAAAGAGGATTTGGAGCTAGAATCGAATCAATGAGAGGATGTAGTAATTTTTGAGGCAAAATTTAAATATTATGGAATGAACAGGTATTATTATATTTTGTTTTAACTCTATATGTTAGATCTCATATTATTATAAATATTATTAAAATATATTTAATGGTTGAATAGTTAATCTTTTTTGTGATGTATATTTGTTATTAATGACTAATTCCTTGAGTTAGTTAGTAGATGACGTCTATAACCCTCAATGGGGAACATGTCAGTCACAATGTATATGTTAAATATTCGTACTTGATTTATGTTGTTAATTAAAACAATATATATGACTATTAATTGATGTTACATGTTAAAAAAAAACCACTTTGGTTGTATATTGATATAATTGAAGAACCAGATTGATTAGAGATTCTTTTAGTAATGATAACAAAATTTTTAATTGATAACGTTATATTATTATATACAATTATAAAATAATATATGTAACTAAAATAAGAGATTATTGGATGTAATCTATGATTATAATAATGGATCTGTATATATAAAATAATTGTTGTACATTATATGTTATCATATGGATGAAGCTTGATTAAATTGATCTTATAAAGTTTAAGACATATTTTTGGTGATATCTCATGAAGTATATTTTTTATATGTATATGTCAAAAAGTCTAATTTTTGGTTTCATGATATAAAATTAAAAATTAAAAAGATTTATATAGTTAAGATAGTTATGATCTCCAAATTATATATAGAAATGTGTTCTTTTTGAAATCCAATTATTTTGAAAAAAGAGTTAGAGAGAAAAGTTAATCTAGTTTTCTATTGAGAAAATCTTCTACATATCAAGTTGGAAGATTGAAACGACAATCATTATATTTTGTATGGATTTAGGTATGTTTATGCTATAATATTTTTTTTATGATTGACAACAAAGATCTTAGGTTAGTGATGGTTTTTATATGTAAAGCTTTATCTTTAAAGTGAATCTAATAATTCTTCCAATTTACATTAAATAACTAAGAATATTCAACAGTTTGGACCTGCAATGAACCAAAACTGAAAATAAGAAGGATTTGGATTAAAGATTGAACCGTTCTCTTTTGAATTAAATCTATAATAAAATAGATTATTCTCTATTTTTTAAATATTTTTATTTTAAATTTAATAAATAAAAATATATGTATTTATACATATATAAATACATATTAAACTTAAGTTTATATATATATATTATATTTTTCAATTAATTATATATATATATTAAATCCATTAAAATAGTCTAAACAAAAGAGAACCAACCTCCTCTTCCTACTCTTTTGATTGAAGATCGGCCTGCATTTGGGAATCATTTTGTTTTAGAAAGCATCTCTATAAACAATTTACAATTTTGTTTATATATAGAAAGCATCTCTAAAAGCATCTCTTCCTACTCTTTTGATTAAAAAAAAAAGCTTGTCTGATTTAAAATTTTATTCCATCAAAACATTTTCAAATTTCTTTAGAGTTAATTTATGAAAGAATAAATAGTCAATTTTTATTTTCCAATTTTCCATTTATATTTTCTTTATTATTAGTAGAAAAATGTTTTTTAAATGGTCTAAGACTCCAATTAAAATTAACGAGATCTTTATATTTCACTTAAATGATCAAATTTTGGTTTTTGCATATTAGTTTTCTTGAAATGTTGCATTATGCTTACTATGCTTCAAAATTTCATTGCATAATATATAAACTAAATCTTATATCAACTATATATTAAGCCTTTGTTACTTTCAAAATCAATGTTTAGGTTCCATAGTTTGTATGTTTTTATTTGATATATAATAATTATCTTTTATTTATTTCTTTTTATTGTGAAATTAAATATTATTTTTTAGTAAATTCATTTCTTTTTTTATATTCATGTTGATTTTATATAGACTGAAAATTTTCTGTATTGCATGCTAATAACCATAAGAGATTATAGAATCGAAGGGTCTAAATATGACAATAAAATGTTTTTTATCATTCTTAATTAAAAAATGTTTCTTATTATTGATCAAATTTAAAAGATAATTGGTTAAAATATCTAATTTTACCAAGTTCTTTTTTTTGTCTTAAGCCCTTTAACTTTAGAAAATGTTCAAATCACTCTCTTACTGTTACTGTCTCGATCACATCGATACAAGTCTGCACATGCCATTAGTGGCATGTATAATTTAATCAATATGGCACCACATGCATGAAATTTAGTGTTTATAAGAATCCATTAAAAACAAGCTCTTTCTTCATATGTGCCCTAAAACACATGAGAAACAACCCCAATCCCCTATGCACATTAGCTCCCTGATACTCCATCATCTTTTTAGTTCCTCCACTACTAACTTCATCAACTAAATGTTCAAGGAAGTAGAATCGCTAATTAACAAGAAAATAGAACTTCTGCTGACACAATCTTTTAGCTACAGTAGTGGCATAAACTAAACGAATGTCAATAACTTTTGGAAGACCATTCACATGATTTGTTCACTAAAAAAACTATAACATACTTGATAATTATATGAATATAACGATAAAATTAGGCAAAATATCCTTATTAATGGAACTGTGGGAGCCAAAAGAACAATAATGTTACTCTTATAGAGATCAATTATTATTATTATCATCAAGGTCATTATGATTATTATTGTCGTGAGTTGATAAAAAATGCAAAAGAGAAGATACATGCAGTAATTATAAAATCCAAAGTGATGGCTCTTTGTGATTGTGAGAATTAAGATATTAAAGTTGATAAAAGAGCATATACTTTAATTGCTAAAAAGCTATACAAATAGTGTTGTTCAAAAGAGAGTGGATATATAATTTTACAACTTGCTAGCATTGAGATTGATCCAAATAAGAAAATTTCACTTTATATTAATTTTTATTCTTTAATTTTTGTTGGATTTAATACTTATATTTTAATAATTTATTTTATTATTTTTTGAATATTGAAGACACAACAAAGGTAAAAATGCATAACGAAATTGTATTAAATCAGTTAAAGAAATTAAAAATAAGGGGTGATTAGAAGTTGATTTTAAAAAAAGATGGTGATGAAGTGTGACACTAACAAAATAAATAGTGATGATAATTCTATATCCTCAAACTACGCTCACAAGTGACCACTTAAGCAACCGGTTGCAACACGAGGTTGATGGGGTGGTGGAGGAATGAGAAAGATGATGGAATATCAAGGAATTCATTTATAAAAGGAGATTGATGCGTATTCTTAGACGTGTCTTTAGAGTATAAATAAAAAAAAAAACTTATTTTAAATCTATTTAACATCACGTGTCATGCATGTGAATTAAAATTATACAAGTTATTGATAATTAAACTCGTAACTTTATAATTAAATAGTAACAACCAAAAAATAATTTGATTATTTTGAAAAATTAAGAATTAATTTAAATTAAAAAAATTTGAGAGTTCTATTTAAATATTTTTTTAAAGTTGAGTGGTAAAACTAGATATTATAGTGAAAGTCAACCCATCCAACAAACGATGGTGCAATTCAAAAGGTCGGTTGTTCCCTGTACACATATGGGGCGCAAGATAGCATGATCCGCCACGTCATTATACCTGCGAAAGCCCAACGAAACGGACACGTGTCGGTCGGAACCACACACGCCGCCCGATCTAGTGGCTCCAAGCTCGAGTTCCTTCGATCGCAGCCCATGGTCCGTACCTAATTTGGCGCGATTCGTTCCGGTTCCCCACTCCCAAAACTCTGGGGCAAAATGTTCTTTTGAGTCCACTCTCTCTCGCTCTGTCTCTCTCTCTGTGCGTAAAAAGAGCTTTTCGTTTTTTCTCTCTCTAAGTGGCATATGAGAACCCTAGCATGAGACAGCCGCCTTCGCTATTTCAAGTATGTCCGCCATAAAAAACAATCAATGTAAGTCTCTCGAGTTGTTAGCTGTTCGTGAAGTTTTATGATAATTTCGTCTCATTAAGGTCAGCCTTTTATCGCCAATCGCTGTGTTGTAAATAATATAGGTAGAAGAATTGGTGATAAAGAGCGGGAAGTTGGATTTCTTCTGTATTTTGCTAGTGCTTTTCCTGAATTTGGAGGATTGAGGAAGCCTAGTTTATGAAATCGTGTCCAGCTTAATCGAGTGGTGTCATGCTTTTTTATTTGTGTATATAGAAGCTAAGTTTTACTGTTTCTACGTTCTTTTCTATGATTTGCGGCAGCAGAAAGGACGTCGCGTGGATTTGTTTTGCACCTTAGTTGGAAATGCGAAATTTCTTGAACTTTCTGGGCGAGGAGTGGGGTAGATTATTAACGTGTTGAGATATTGGAGGAGCATATTTGACGTTGGACTTTTGGTTGTTGAATAACTCTTGGAAGTGGTTGTGTATATCCCTGAAATTGTTTGTCTTTTTCTTTTTGGCCGATGGCAGAAGATGGCCTTCGGATTGGTGGGCTTTCTTCTGGTTTGGCTGTGATATTGAACGGTGAGGATGGAAAGGAGAATTTGCCGAAAAACCGTCTTGTTTCCTTATGTGATGAGTTTGGGCACCGTTCTGTTGAGCGGACTGTTGAATACATATTTGGTCTTCACGATAAATCCATTGGTCCTTTGGCTTGTCCTATTGACATCAATTTAATCCAATCCATTATAAAGAACCAGTTCTCTGATCTTTATTCAAAAGCAGATGCATTATTTACTAGCAGAGATGGAATCTCCATCATGGATAATGGCTGTGGACGCCATGTTGTTGGCCTTGAAGAAGATAGCATATGTGGTGATATTAGAATGACTAAGATCCCCCTACTTGTAGAAAGTTCAGCTCTGTTCAGCAGTGCTAGGGCTAATGCTTGTATCTGGAAGGGAAAATGGATGTATGAAGTTTCTTTGGAAACTTCAGGCATACAACAGCTTGGATGGGCAACTCTAACTTGCCCTTTCACTGACCACAAGGGAGTAGGAGATGCTGACGATTCATATGCATTTGATGGAAGAAGGGTTAGCAAATGGAATAAGGAATCTGAGCCATATGGTCAGTCCTGGGTAGTTGGTGATGTTATTGGATGTTGCATAGATTTGGACTCTGATGAAATTTCATTCTACAGGAATGGGGTCTCACTTGGAGTTGCATTTTCAGGCATTCGGAAAATGGGACCTGGATTTGGATATTATCCTGCTATTTCTCTTTCCCAAGGTGAGCGCTGTATATTGAATTTTGGTTGTCGGCCTTTCAAATACCAGGTAGAAGGCTACCTTCCTCTTCAAGCGCCTCCATCTATAAACAGTTATGCTGCAAAACTGCTGCAGTGCTTTTCAAGGTTGCTTGATATGCACTCTGTAGAACGGGCTGAGCGATCTTTGGTCGACAAATTCAGGAGATTAAAGAGATTTGGGTCATTTGAAGAACTCTTTCACCCAGTTTCTCGTGCAATATGCAAGGAATTTTTCTCTTTACTTGAAGGAGATCCTGCTAGCATAGTGTATATAGGATGGGGTGCACTTCTAGAATTCATGATGGGGGTCTTTGGGATGCATGCACCGCATGATTGTTCCAGTTTGGATAAAGTTCTTGATATCTTCCAGGAATTTCAGGGTTCATACCTTATACTTGAGCATGTTATAAATGCTCTTTCATGTTGTTGCAAAACAGCCTCGTTTGTTCTAACTGAATGCCCATATTCTGGATCGTATCCGTATCTTGCATTGGCATGTCATATATTAAGACGTGAGGAAGTGATGGCGCAGTGGTGGAGATCTTCCAATTTTGAAATTTTGTTTGAAGGTTTTCTATCACGTAAGAGTCCAAATGGGCAGGATCTTCAGTGCTTGATGCCTGCTGTTTGGTGGCCTGGATCCTGTGAGGACATGTCCTCTGAAAGTAGCATGATGTTGGCAACATTGGCTTTATCTGAAGCTATAAACAAGGTATATTCAAGTCATTTGGATCTCATACTTTTTTCTGTTTTTTTAATTCAGTTTACTATTCATCTGAGTTTCTGTATCAAGACCAACAGATTTGTTGTACTTTTCTTTGTCTGCAGATTGAGGAAAAGCAGAGGGACCTGTGTCTCTTAGTCATACAGTTCATTCCACCTATATCACCTCCTCAGCCTCCTGGATCAGTGTTTAGGACATTTGTAAAGAATCTTTTATTGAAGAACAGGGGAGCAGATCGAAATGTGCCACCTCCTGGAGTTTCAAGTAATTCTGTTCTTGTTTCACTTTTTACAGTCATACTCCATTTTTTATCTGAAGGGTTTGCCATGGGGGATATATGCGGCTGGTTGAAAAATTGTACCAGTCATCATGATGTTGGATTTCTTCATAGAGGCGGTCAACAGCAATTCTCTGTAGGTTTGTTCCTTAGAAGTGAATCTTATCCTGAAGATATCAGCAGGCTTGGGGGATCATTTAGTCATTTGTCCAAATCTCATCCAGTAGATGATCAGGAAGCAGAAGTGATCCGGTGGGAGGAAGGTTGTATGGATGATAAAGAAAATAGAGTAACTCATTCAACTAACCAGAAACCGTGTTGTTGTTCAGTTTATGATGTTGACTTTGGAAGAACCTTAAAGGATCCAGGTAAAAATGTATCAAAAGTTTCTCGTGGCCATTGCAGCTCTATTCCTGAGAGGTCTGCTCATGTTGCTGCAGAATGCAGCACCGGAAGTTTGAATGAAGAGATAGCTGATAAACCTAGCTCCAGTGATCAATCTGAATCTGAGTTTGGCTACTGTCCAGTTTGGAATACAAGGACTGAACCACGTGAGTGTAATTTTACTTCTGCTACTTTGAGTGAAGACGAACTTCTAGATGGGCTGCTGCTGTTGTACCACATAGGTCTTGCACCAAACTTTAAGCAGGTGAGGGGATTAGGGGGCAGAAGTTTTTCCATATCCTGATGAAACTACTGATTTTGCCGATCATTTTCTTTTTAAGTACAAGTAGAAGTTTGAAATGGGACTTATACTGGTTACTTGAGAGATTAGTCTAGTTTCTTTTGCTAGTGATATTAACTACTAATGGTTTCATTTACTCATACAATCGATTTGGAACTGCAATTTTTTTTTTCGGTTTGCAATCCTCCTTAGTGCAAGCTAGTTTTACTGAGCATGGGATGTATCTTGGCCTTGGGATATGTTTTGATTTTGTTTTCTAGATTTCAAAATATTAACACTTCATATTATCCATATGACTGAAAGTCTGCCAGACTTGCTTGTAGTCTAATTGAATGGGAAAGATCTGATGAAAAGGTGATAAATAAATTCTACCTTTCATTCTATCAATTCTACCATGTACATTAATAATAATTTTAGAGGTACTGGATGGAGAATTTTACAAATTTAAGGAATATAACCGAAGGGTTTGGAGTACTGAAAAGAAAATTTTAGTTCAAGGATTTTTGTGTGGGCTGCACTTTTGGAACTGGTGCAACAGCTGATGGGAGATCTTTCTTTCTATTGTAGGCATCATATTATATGTCTCATCAGTTGCAGTCAATCTCTCTCTTGGAAGAAACTGATAAACAAATAAGAGACCAAATTTGCAGCGAGCAATTAAAACAATTGAAGGAAGCTCGTAGTAATTATCGCGATGAAGTAATGGATTATGTCAGACATTCTGCATGGTAAGATGATTAGCTAAAATGTGCTCTCTTAAGAAGATATGGTTTTGATGACATTTGAGTATTTCTGGACCATATTATCTACATTATCCTTGTCTAATGGATTTAGTTCAATGTACTTAAGCCAGAGAAAAAGCAATGTAATCCTGAAGTCGATTACGAGCGGGTTACTTGTGGAATAGTTATACTCGTTATCTTCCTGTCTTTTAGTTTCCTGTTTCTTGAGTGTGTGCTTTGACTTCCATCCTGGTAAAATGGCTTTTTTTTGTTGTTGCGAAGGGTGGGAATCCCTGGGCCATCTTCTCTCTTTGTGCCCCAAGACTAGAAGGCTTTGGGATTCAGCCCTTGCTCTCCTTAACCCTTCTTGGCTGATGTGTGGCTTGATCAAGGTGAGCTGTGGATGTTGGATGGTATCATAGTTTCTAAAACGAAAAAAAGAAAAAAGGATCCTCTCTCTTATTCCATTGTCCATTTTTTTGGCTTTCTTGAAGGAGAGTAATGGGAGAGGTTTTGAGAATTCTTGCTCCTCTTTCTCTGCCATAAGGGTTCAGTGTTGAGGACTCTCTGTATTTGCGGAAGGTCTCCTGATGGAGGCTGATAATTGTTGACCCTTTTGATACATTGTTTTTGATGAACTTGTAAATCCTGTAGTTTGGGTGGCACTTCCTTGGTGCCATGATGATCTTTCCTATAATTTGATATTTAGTTTGGGTGGTACCCCTTTGGTGCACATAATAATGTTTTTTTCCACAAGTAGTAATGTTTTAATTGGAGCAGCAAGAGTTCTATAATTGGCAACTTAAGAGCTTGTTTTTTGATTATGTAATTCATCATGGCTATTTTGGGAAGGTTGCAAAACGGATTTTGCTGGAAAAGAAATAGCAGTACCTGTAATTAGGAAAATGATTTTGTTGTATGCTTGTGTTTGGTTCAACTTCTGTTGCTCAAATTATATGGATTTACAGGTATCGCATCTCGCTATCTTCAAGATGGAAACAAAGAGGAATGTATGCAATGTGCATGTGGACTGTCCAGTTGCTTCTTGTCCTCAGCAAAGTAGATTTCGGTGTTCATCTATATTCCTGAATTCTACCTCGAAGCTCTGGTAAGTGTAAATCTTCAACAATATAACATCATTCTATGTCAAACATTGTGCACGAATTTTGTCTACTATATATTGTAAGAAGAGAGTGCATGTTCTTTTAGTGCACGTGCCGTCATAACTGCAGCTATCAAATATAAATATAATCTGCTTAGGTTGCATGAACTTTTGTAGCCTATTCATAGTTCAATAGAACTTTGATAATTCCTATGGGATACCTTACAATTGCTTAGTGAAACTGCAGTTTGAGATTCAAACAGAGTAAGGAATCTTGTTTTATTTTGTTTTCTTGTGGAATATTCTGTACTAATATATGCTAAGGGCATTTTTTTGCAAAGCATGTCATCTGTTAAGTCGTATGTCTTGTACTAAAAGATTTGTATATACTAGATTGTGCAGAAAATTTGTCTATAAAGTTATATAGTTGCTGTTCAAATTTTCTAGACATAATTTTTATCTATCGACTTATCTTTATGTTTATTATTCTATCTCTTTTATAAAGAAGCTATTAATGAGTTACTTCAGGGTTTAAGATCTGGTTCTGTACAGAAATTTAACTGAAGTCTGTATGAAATTGCCTTGATTCTAATTCTTACTTCAAGTACTCGAGATTAAGTGTGTTTCCATGGCAATTTCTTCAATTCCTGACATGTTACTATTGCCTTTTCAGGTTGACTGCTTTCATGTTCTGCGTAAAAGTGATCCGCCATTTGTCCCCTCTGCAATATTTGTCAAGCAAGGGCTTTCTTCATTTGTATGTCTTAGCTGTTAATTATACTTTTTGTTTCTCTATTTCCTGTTTCTATTGCGAATGAGTTTATGTATATGTCTTTAAAAAAAATTAATAAGAGGCGATCAATAGGTTTATGCAATCTTTACTTTCTTACCATGCTAAAATAATTGAGTTAAATTAACTGGTTTCAATGATATTAGTTACCAGACATTTTTATTAATAGACCTTATAAAATCACAATTTTTATGAAAATACAGTTTAGATTGGAATTTCAGTCATCAGATGGAGATGTCCATGTTTCTCATGATAGCTCCAGATTTCTCTGGTGTCCGAGAGAAAAAAAAAAGAAATATATTATTATAGAAAGTTGCACCAAGGGGGTGGCACACTGGGACTGGTGTATAATAAAATTAGAGAAAATTCAGTGATATTTCCAGACCTTCTCATTCAAGAACTTGATGACCCTTAATGAGAATAGATAAGGTCTGAAGCCAACTGTCCATAAATCTGGCCATACTAGATTTGGGATACTATCATTTTGATCCCGTAGGATGGAATCTGATGTATGACAAAGAGAGCTTGAAGAGAAAACTTAGAAAAATTTTATTAAGAACAAAACATGGAGATCTCGAATCTCAATAATCAAAACAATATCTCAATATTTGATTAATAAAATCATAAATAATTGACCTAATGACTTAGTTAAGATACCTTATTTATAGGCACTAAACTGCAACAAAAAGAGCACTTAGAGTATTGGTACACACTGTGTAAGTCTTGATCTTGTTAACATATCTAATATATCCTCAAGGTGGAGAATTAGAAATCAATATTTTTAATAGTGATCTTATTAATCAATTGTCTATGCACATCCTCCATGTTGCATCCTTTTTAGGGGTTAGAAGGGCGGGAACAACACAACAACTAAGACTGTGTTGAACAAATTCCTTTTCCAAGAGTTCTTCCACTTGTCTGTTTAACTTAGCACGCTGTTTTGGTTTCATCCTAAACTGTTGAAGATTAGGAGCTGGGATCCAGCAACAAGATCAAAGGACATGTTGGATGTCTCTCATGAGAGGTTTCATCAGTTGTGCATCAGAATGAGATTAGAAAACTTTTCTAATAACTGTGTAATTTGAGGGGGCTCACTATGCTAGCCACATTACCCTTTTGAGGAAGCATGGCGGGCACCACAATAATCCAACATTGACTATTTGGTGGCATTGACTATTCGCTATTTCTTTCTCAAACTCGTTTTAATTAAAAGATACTAACTTCTTAGTAGAAATGGGTTGGGACTTTGTATTAACCTCTTTACTTGTGTCTATAGGTTTGGTTGGTTTGAGGATAATGTTTTTACTTTTGTATTTGAAGGGATGGGTGGTGTCCCTGTCACAATGGGTCATATTTTAATTGTATAACCATGGTCTTCCTAACAACACATGGGCCACGTCCATGGTTAAGACACTGCAATAAATCTCATCTAAGTAATCACCCATTTGAATTTGAATGTAAACATCTTTGGGTAATAGGTAAGGTTGTCTAACTACCCTAAGAGGGTGAGGGTCCGATTCTATTTTGAGTTTAAATCTTAATATGGCAATCTTAGATATTACATTCATGGTACTATCACCATCAATAACTTGTTTGGACGATTGGTCCACACTTTATGAAAGTAATGAAAATACTAGTCTGCTTCCACTTATCATTGTCTTCAAGATCATTATTTTCTTCATCACTTGGGTATGGGATCAACTATTTGGTCCTCATATTCAGGTGGGACATGCCATTCTTTAGGTAGGGGTACGGTGATCAATCGGACGAGACGAAGATTTTAAATTTGAGATGTATCCTTCTATGTTTCAAGCTGTTTCGGGGCTCAACATCAATTTGGAAAAATCTGAATTGGTCAGTATTGGTGATAGGGGCATGGGAACACATCTGCAGTTTTGTTGGGGTGTAGAACGGCTGATCTTCCCTTGAAATACCTGGGTGTTCCGTTGGGCTCGAAATACAAAGATGCTGGAATTTGGGATCCAGAAATCTGAATTGGTCAGTATTGGTGATAGGGGCATGGGAATGCATATGCGGTTTTGTTGGGGTGTAGAACGACTGATCTTCCCTTGAAATACTTGGATGTTCCGTTGGGCTCGAAATACAAAGATACTAAGATTTGGGATCCAATGATTGATCTTTTCGTGAGGAGGCTAGCCAAATGGAAGAGAAATTTGTTGTCTAAGGAGGGAAGGTTAACACTCGTGAAAAGCACCTTATCAAATATTACTTATTGGTTCTC